TGGTCACTGGTGGAGGGATGGGTATTCAAAATAAATAAATAAATAAATAAATATTTTTTAAAAGACATCTCTGCAGCTTGTTGATCTCTTTCAAGATTTATTTATGAGTCTCTGGATCATGGCCAGTTAATGAACTTATATGGACCACTTTTTAACAATATGTTTCTACTCCCCTTGCTTGGACAGCAGAGTTTCAGCAGAGTTTCCCTCATTCACTCTTGAGTAAGAGGTCCACAGTTTCTTAGGACAGACAAACTAGCCAGATAAAAGCCAGTCCAGAAAATTGAGAGCCGTTGGTTCCTTATTGACGGGTTCGCTTGGCAGATTCTGAGCTGTGTTATCAAGATGGCATTTCATTTTGCACTCACAGCTTAAGTCTTAGATTTCAATACTTACAGCTTTGAAGGCCAGCCAAAACTTGTGTGTTACAGTTTTCCCAGGGTTGAAAAACCAAACAAAATGAAAGATTTGAACAAGACTGCCATCTGGTGGGAAAAGAATATATTATATTATATTATATTATTTTTTAAAATAATGCAGAAGCACTGCTATTTGTTCAATCATTGATTAAGCTGATTGAATTGGGCATGAACTCCACATTATTTATTATTTATTGTATCACCATGAGATAGAGTTACAAAGCTTTCGTGTTTGAGATTCAGCCATACAGTGATGGAGCACCCATCCCCCCACCAGTGCACATTTTCCACCACCAATGTCCCAAGTATCACCAACCACCCCACCACACACACACACACACATACACACACACACACACACACACACACACACACACACACACATTGCAGTTCTCACCCTGCCTCTGCGGCAGACAATTTCACCAATACTCTCTCTCTCTCTCATGTTGGGCATTAATTTTGTTCGATTTTTTCCCACCACCATTCAAGCCTACCTGCCAGGGGCAGATGCTAGATCATATATTTTCCATAGCTCAGTTCGAATATCATGAGAGCTCGCGTGGCCGCGATTGTAAAATTTCTAGATTGTAAATGGCTGGGTTCCAGAGACATCTCTGTCTGGCACTAATCCGTTTTGGGATTCAATTGGGAGTCTCTAAATAGGCTTTTTGGATCACACCTGGAGATGCTCTGGTGTTACTCCTGGCTCTGCACTCAGAATAACTCCTGGCAGTGCTCGGGGGACCATATGGGATGCCAGGGATCAAACCTGGGCCAGCAGCGTGAAAGGCAAACAAACACCCTATGAGCTGTACTACTGCTCAGGCCCTATTATACAGAGCTATTCTCATCATGTTTGGTAATGTCTATGTTTTAGGGGGTTGATGTTTCCACAACTACCGTCACAGTGCTGATTATACCACTGTCCACTGGATTCTTTCAGCTCAGCTTTTTAAATCATTCTATTGAAGTTTAGGTAATACGGTGTTAAAGCAAATGGTATCGATGTACCCACTTACTGCACCACACCACCACCGTCGTTCCACAGCCCTCCACCCCCAGTGCCCCTCTTACCTCTGGTTCCATCCATGTTGCTGCGAAAGGTAAAACTTGATCTTTTCTTAGAACTGTCGCGCTGTAGCACTCTCCTCCCGTTGCTCATCGATTTGCTCGAGCGGGCACCAGTAACGTTTCACGACAAATTGTGAGACTTGTTGTTACTGTGTTTGGCATATCAAATAAGCCATGGGAAGCTTGCCAGGCTCTGCCGGGCGGAATACTCTTGGGAGCCCATATAATCGTATTGCATTGTGTTCATGTATGTTGCAACATACTTGAACAGAGATCCTCTGCCTGCTTCCCCCAGTCTCCGGTGACTCAGGGATCACACCCATAAGCCACACCCTGCTGGCACCAGATAATCTCCTCGTCAGCCACCCTACAGAACTCAGGATGCTCCTCCCAGACGGGAGTATAAAATGGGGCTCCAAGAACCATGCCACTGGACTCTGCGCCAGGCTGTGGTGAGAGCCCTCCCCACCCCAAGGGACCCAGTCCAGGTAGTCAACTTCCACTGCTCAACCACCGCCACGCTCCAGGCCGCTTTCCAGACACATTATAAGACACTTCCTACCCATTTCTGCTCTCAGAGAGCTCAGCAAACTACCGAGTGTGTCCTGCCTGCATGGGCAGAGCCTGGCAAGCTCCCCTTGGCGTATTCAATATGCCAAATACAGTAACAATAGGTCTCATTCCTTTGACCCTGAAAGAGCCTCCAATCGTTGGGAAAAGACGAGTAAGAAGAGGCTGCTAGGGGCTGGAGTGATAGCACAGTGGGTAGGGCGTTTGCCTTGCATGCGGCCGACCCGGGTTCGATTCCCAGCATCCCATATGGTCCCCTGAGCACCGCCAGGAATAACTCCTGAGTGCAGAACCAGGAGTAACCCCTGTGCATTGCCGGGTGTGACCCAAAAAGAAAAAAAGAAAAAAGAAGAGGAGGCTGCTAAAATCTCAGGGCTGGAAGGAATAGAGACATTACTGGCACCCGCTTGAGTAATTCGAAGACCAACGGGATGACAGTGACATAGTGATACAGTGATTCATAACAAGCAACACAAAATAATTTAGGGCTTGCTATCGGGGCAGTCTTGGGTGATGGCTGGGAAAATTCAAAACAATGGTGGTGGAAAGGTGTAATGGTGGTGGAATTGGTGTTGGAATATTGAATGCAATAAATTGTTAACTTTATAAAAAAATTAAATTCATAAAGCCAAGTAACATGCTCAAAAAAAAAAAAGGTAAAGGTAAAGGCCCTCCCGTTGATCGTCGATTTGCTCGAGCGGGCCCAGTAACGTCTCCATTGGAGACTTTGTTGTTACTGTGTCTGGCATATCGAATACTCTCGGTAGCTTGCCGGGCTCTCCGAGAGGGGCGGAGGAATCGAACTCGGGTCGGCTATGTTGGCTGCTTGTAAGGCGAACGCCCTACCCGCTGTGCTATCGCTCCAGCCCAGAAAAAAAAGAGAAAAATGACAAGAGCGTTGTTGAGCAGACAGTCTCTTAATCTGACTTTTGCTGATGTGCCTGTCCATGAGGGTTCCCCCTCACCACGCTGGATTTCTGAGCATTTTCACTCAGCAAATCTGCATCAACAGGTGCACTATATTACACCCCAGTTTTAAGCACTTAGGAAACAAGCACACAAGGTCCCATTCATAGCATTCATATTCATGACATGTTGAAACGCTATTTTAGAGACATTGAATCAAAGTACATTATTTAAGTGATCTCCCTATGTGACTTTTTGCAACCAGAATGCCATCTTATAATAATTATGCCATATAATAAGAATACATAATAAGGATATACTACAAATGTCATATGTCATTCAAATTACAATTGAACGCTGATGAACGCCGTTGCTTCAGCTCAGTGGTGAATATAATCTATTTAAATTTGGATGCAATTTCTTTTTGTTTAGTTTTGTTGTTTTGGGGGTCATACCCACCTGTTCTTAGGCCTTACTCCTGGCTCTGAGTCCAGGGATCGCTCCTGGAGGGGCTGGGGAATCACATGGGATGACGGAGATCAAACCCAAATTGGCAGCATAAAGGAGATAGTATTTACTTTAACCCCAATACTATCTCTCTGACCTCATGAGTCAGCTTGTCATACTGCCGGTTTCTGGAATGACCAGATAGAGCCACAGAAGGAAACGAGTGAAACCCTAATGTTTCTGTGTGGTACGTTTTGCAGAGAACAGGAAGAAAAAGTTATACAATAAAAGTTCCTTCTGGTTAGTTATCTTGAGTACTGAGAATATTTTATTTTTGATTCTTCTATGTACTAATTTTCTCACAGTACATGTACACTGCACTTGTATGACAACCTTTATACAGAAAATGTGATGTGAAAAAAATACTTTGAGACTTAAGAAGTGAGCTCCATTATTTTTGTGCAAGTAAGATTTGGAACTTGGTACCCGCTGTCTGCAATAGGTCATCTCATCCAGAGGCAAACGCAAAACAGCATCTTCAAAGTCCAGCTTCCTCGGGGAAATCATCTTTCTAGCTGTATTGAACTGTGTCCTGATAGGGAGTCCTACCAACTTGCCTATCGGGACAGTCCTTGGTGAATAGTTGCCTTACTTTAGCCATGTGCTTTATTTCCCAACTCAAGGAACATTCTTTCTCAGAGCACGGTGACAAGCCAACCTTACAATTCCTTCTGTCCGGTACACTGGAGGTGTAAGTCTGGGGAGGTCATACCCAGTGAAGCTTGCCTAAGAGTGACCCTTGGTACAATACTGTGGAATCGAATGCAAGTTGGCGGCATGCAAGGCAGGCAACTCCACCTCTGTGCTCTGACCTTGGAGGCATGATTCTCATCCTTAGCGTGTATTAACGCTCTAAAAGATTGCCTATATTGGACTGTGGCAACAGGTGTTTAATAATAATATCATACTTTATGTTCCCCAGATGAACGCGATCTTTCTATGTCTATCCCTTTCTTTGAGTCATTTCGCTTAACATGATACTTTCCATGTAGTACCACTTGTGTGTAAATTTCATGACTTTGTCTTTTCTAACAGCTACATAGTACTCCACTGTGTAAAATAGGAGACTAACAGCCAAGAATGGCCGAGATTAGTACCAGGAATTTTACACCATGGCTTGGAGGCCAGCCACACATGCTAGGGGAAAAGGCAGCTCGGATAGAGAAGGAAGCACCAAATAAAGGGTGTTGGGAGGATCCTCCCAGGATGGGAGAAGCATGCTGAAAGTAGACCACAGACCAAACATGGTTGTCACCCGTTGCCTCTTTTGCAAACCACAACACCGAATAAGAGAGAGAGAACCAAAGGGAATGCCCTGCCACAGAGGCAGGGTGGGATGGGGGGATGAGAGGTGGGAGGGATGTTGGGATCCATGGTGGTGGAGAATGGGCACTGGTGGAGGGATGGGTATTGGATCACTGTATAATTGAAACCCAAGCACAAAAATTTGTAAGTCTACAACTGTACCTTGTGGTATCTCACTAATAAAAATTAAAAATAAATAAAAAGAGAGGCATCGCAATCTACTTTCTTCAAAGAAACACTTATATATGATCTTTATTCGTCAAAACAGATTCAAACAAAATCCAGAACAGATTTTTCACATTTTGAGCCTTCAGTGCAAGGACGTTACATCATGCGTGAAATAAATTATTTCTCTGGTGGCGCTCTTCCTGACGTACATAAATACCGGGAATGGTCAGGTCGAGGACGGCTGGCTGATGGGACAGAAATCTGCTCAGAAGCCTGCTTGAGAAGGGGTATGATTTAAACCTCATTATATTCAGGTTTGTTTTTCCCCCCCTCCCGCAACATAAATGTGATTAAATCATGTGTAATCTCAACTTTTCAACTTCAAAACAAAAACATCCCCAGAGTCCGCTATTTCCCCTTTAAATAAAAAAAAAAAAATAATAATCAATTTATATTCTCCTTAAAAGAACTCCAACAATGCAAAATAAGTTCCAGTTCCATATATATATATATATCTATCTATATATATATATGGTATATATATGTATGTACATGTATAACTTAGATACTCTTTTGCTCTCTATATTTTGATTCATGCAACAGTGACAGAGGACTGGGCGTAGGCTCTACAGTGGCCTGTCGGAGAAAGCGGTGTAGCTCCTGACCCTGGCGAAGAACAAGGGCGTGTACATCTTGTCGATGTCGAAGGCAGAGACTGCCGTCTCCCCAGTCGATCTGGAAAGGGAAGGGGAAAAAAATCGCCAGTTACAAGGAAACTTCAAATCACTCGAAATCCTTGCACGTTTTATTGGGGAGGGGGGGGCTCTGATGGGGGACGGGAGGGTGTAGTTCATACCTTAGCCTTTTAAAATTTCAACTCATCTAAGTTCATTCTCAATAATACAGGCCTGGGGGCTGGAGAGATAGCACAGCGGGTAGGGCGTTTGCCTTGCACGCGGCCGACCCGGGTTTGATTCCCAGCATCCCATATGGTCCCCCGAGCACCGCCAGGAGTAACTCCTGAGTGCATGAGCCAGGAGTAACCCCTGTGCATCGCCGGGTGTGACCCCCAAAAGCCAAAAAATAAAATAAATAAAATAAATAAAATAAAAAATAATACAGGCCTACCTACTGTAGAAGAATTCAGAATATTAAAGCAACTCACCTGTAGGGGGGCCGGGGAGGGAGTTCACAGAACAGCAAATTATTTATTTACATCCCTCCCCAAAATAGGAGGAGATATGGAGCTGGAGCTATCCCTATCATATAGTGGGTGGGGTGTTTGCCTGGCATGTGGTTGACCCGGGTTAAGTCCTTAGTACCCTATATGGTCCCTTGAGCCCACCAAGAGTGGTCCCTGAGTACGGAGCCAGGAGTAAACCCTGCGCACCGTCATATATGGCCCCAAACAAAAAAATAAAATATCAGATGACATACACAAAAGTAGAATATCCAAATGATGCCTATTATAAACATCCTTTGTTTTCCCAAAGCATCATTTCTTTCACTTGCTTGATGCTACTTCTGAATTCTTTTTTTTTTTTCATTGAAAAGAAAAAGAAATCTGCTTCACAGATTACCGAGAGAAGCAAAAAAGGAGAATGGTGGGATTAGAAGTGTGAGAAGAAATGTTCTTTGTTGTAGGGAGTTTCCAAATGACTTGGGACACATTATTTATAAGGTAAAATCATAAAGTATAAATGGGGCCAACGCGATGTTCTAGACTACTAGCATGTAGGGGTCTTGCCTTGCACAGGACCGACCCGGGTTTGATCCCCAACATCCCATATGGTTCCCTGGGTCTTGCCAGGAGTGATCCCTGAAGGCAGAGCCAGGAGCCACTTCAGAGCATTGACGGGTGTGCCCACCTCCAAAAGATTATTTGCTCTATAATGTAAACTCTGAGGAACTGAAACCTATTTGGGAGTTTCCTAAGCCTGACAGAGAGCACAACACCCTCATCCAGTCACGGGATGTTCTTCTTGCAGTCGCCTACTTGTAGGTAATGTGACAAGAGTGGTGTATCCACACAAGTTTGTTGAATCTCTGGTGGCGACTGGAACAGAGCTGCAGCCCCACGTGGAAACTCTGATCTGCTTCTTGGACAGGGACACGACGAAAATATCTGTATTTATAGTCAAGTGGTTTCTGGAAAAGAAAAGAAGAAAGAAAAGAAAAGGTGTGTAACCTGTAAGCTGTGTAACCGTAGAGATTTCACACACATGTATGTATATATCTATGGACACGTTATTCATAATACGTAGGAATACATTATGCAAACGCGAGGCTAGAACATGATTATCAGTGTAGAGTAAGGAGCTGTGTGGGATATCAAATGAGAAAGTACAGGGGTGCCTTTCCGTAAAGGCAAGACTCGAAAAACAAGGCCTTCCTCCAGCAGCAACATCTCACTGAATAATCACAACAGCCCCAGTGTGTGAATTAGGTCTGCATCATCATCATTCAATGGTTGAAGGGTGAAGATCCTACAGAGATCAAAAGAGCTAACCAAAGTGACAAAGCAGTTTCAAAGACGGGAAGCAGGGACTCGAGCACAGCGGGGAGGGCGTTTGCCTTGCACGTGGCCGACCTGGGTTCGATTCCCAGCATCCCACAGGGTCCCCTGAGCACGGCTAGGAGCGATTCTTTCCCAGAACCAGTTTAAATCAGTAAAGAAGCAGATACAACAGGGTTATACATGGGTCATTTGCATCATACTTGTGCAAACACACACACACACACACACACACACACACACACACACACACACGGCACCATGTCTTGCTTCACTGCTATACTCCGAAGAGAAAGACAGCAGGCTGTGGGAGCTCATCGGTTCTACTAGAGATAGGCCAGCTCCCAGGACACTCACGGCCATGGCCAGGTCATAGCAACTGTCTCTGCACCCCAGACCATGGGGCTAGATTCCAGGAACTTTCCAGAGAGAGGCAGTGGGGCTGGCGACAGATGGTCCCAGGGCAACAGGAATCAGACAAAACCCTGCCCCAACTCTCTCAAAGTTATATAATGCCAGGGAAGAGAAGGGGTTCAATCCTGGGGTGGGGGGAGGGGTCCTTTCAAAAACCCAAATGAATTTTCAGGCTCGTTCATTTCATTAGTAAACAAAGTATATGTGATACCAACGGACCAAAAGGGTTTTGGTTTTTTTTTCCTGCTCTTTTGGGTCACACCCGGTGATGCACAGGGGTTCCTCCTGGCTCTACACTCAGGAATTATCCCTGGCGGTGCTCAGGGGACCATATGGGATGCTGGGAATCGAACCCAGGTTGGCCGCATGCAAGGCAAATGCCCTCCCCGCTGTGCTATCTCTCTGGCCCCTGACTAAAAGGTTTTTGTTTTTGTTTGGGGGTGGGGGAGGGCATAGCCACCAGTGCTCAGAGCCTACTTCTGGCTCTGCACTTGGAGAATCACTCCAGGCAGGTTTGGGGTGACCACAGGGAAGGGCTGGGGTTCAAAGTGGAATCTCCCACATGCAAGGCAAGCACCTTCCCTGCTGTACTGACTCTCTGGGCCCTGACTAAATCGCTCTTTTAAAATCTGTACTAGCAATTTACTTGGCCAGTTTTTTAATTCCACCTCACCCTGACTTTCTTTTTCTTTCTTTCTTTCTTTCTTTTTTTAAGCTTCGTTTCGGCAACTTTATTGGGTCAAAATAGCTACAATTTGCCAAATGTGCTAATCTGTCATGAATTATAGATCAAACACATTTTTATGCAGGAATTTTCTTTTTCCTTCTTTCTTTTTTTTAATTTTTATTAGTGAGACACCATGAGGTACAGTTGTAGACTTACAAATTTTTTTGCTTGGGTTTCAATTATACAATGATCCAGTACCCATCCCTCCACCAGTGCCCATTCTCCACCACCACAGGTCCCAGCATCCCTCCCACCTCCCATCCCCCCATCCCACCCTGCCTCTGTGGCAGGGCACTCCCTTTTGGTTCTCTCTCTCTACCCTGACTTTCTTGACTCTGCACCATGGTCGTTAAAAGTCACAAAGAAAATTAGGCCCTGAATCTGTTCCGAGAGTTTTAAGTGCTCTGTAAGAGTATTCCTCGAGTGGAGGGGCACTGAGGGTGAGACACATAGCTCTGGGCCTTCAGGAATACTCCAAGGGAGCAGAGGAGACACGAGCCGGAAAGGTGCAGCATGAGAGAACGCGCGGGGGGGGGGGGGGGGGGGGGGGCAACGTTAGGACCGAGGAGTTGGGGAAGAAGGAAAGGGAGCAGGGGCCATGGTCAGAAAGGTTTGAGGAACAGTGGTCCAGCGGGCCAGAGAGAGAAAATGGCTCTAAAGCTCTTGGCTTCTATGACGCCAACCCTGGCGTCATCCCTGTCGCCACAGATGGTCCCAGCATCACCGCAGCTCTGACAGCCCCCAGGTAGCAGCAGGGGTGGCCAAATGAACCCCCCCACCTCCCACCAACAGGACCCAAGAGAACTCAGCTCGAATATAACCCAGCAATCCTATTTCCCCGGCAGCTGCTTTTCTCCCTTTTAAAACAACAGGAAAAATATACGAGTCTCATGTTAGCTTATTTCCAGTCGAAATTTAAATTCTCTTGTAAGGATAGCTTTGTGACGTGCTAGGGGAAAAGGAAGCTCAGATAGAGAAGGGAGCACCAAATCAAGGGTGTTGGGAGGATCCTCCCAGGATGAGGGAAGCACGTTGAGAGTAGACTATAGACCAAACATGATTGCCACTCAATGCCTCTCTTGCAAACCACAGCACCCAAAAGGAGAGAGAGTATAAAAGGGGATACCCTGCCACAGAGGTAGGGTGGGATGGGAGGATGGGGGGTGGGAGGGATACTGGGACCCACGGTGGTGGAGAATGGGCACTGGTGGAGGGATGGGTACTCGATCATTGTATCACTGAAACCCAAGCACAAAAGTTTGTAAGTCTACAACTATACCTCATGGGGTTTCACTAATAAAAAAATAAATAATTTTTTTTTTTTTTAAAAAAGAATAGCTTTGTGAAAGATCTGTATGAGCCTCTAAGGATTCCAAATGGGATCATCAGACCCAATCTCCTCAGGGTTCCGAATGGGAAGAGCCAAAACAGCACAGTCAGGTCATGTGTTTACTAATTATGGCATAGAAATAAAGTTTTACATGTTCATCTGGCATAGAAAAAAAAAAACAATTTGGAGAAAAATAAACTGATTCAACAACAAAAAAAGTGACATTTTTAGAAACCCCTTCGGTTCTCTTGAGAAATATGCCACAAGTTAAATATACACATTTTGTACAACATTATAAACTAATTGGGTTGGCGCAATAGCACAGCAGGTAGGGCATTTGCCTTGCATGCAGCTGACCCGGATTTGATCCCTGGCATCCTGTATGGTCCCCTGAGCGCTGCCAGGAGCAACTGCAATAACCCCTGAGCACTGCTGGCTGTGGCACCAAACCCAAAAATATACATACATACACATGAATATATATATATTTATATATACACACACATATATAGTGTAAACTAATTAATGAAACAGTACTTTTTAATCCTTTCTAATCAAAATGCTGACATACTGAACGTAGGATACTGAAGTAAAAACTAAAATGGCAAATTTCCACCTTACGTACTCACCTCTTCTTTTTTCTTGGTTATCACAGCAAATACTTTGGTCTGATTGTCTGTGTCTTGTGACAAGCGATAATGGCCCAGTAGGATTGCATCTGTTCTGAAAATTAAAGGACACTCTTTAGATCTCCGTCTACTCCTCTGACTTTTATTATTAGGAAAATCTTGGTTAGAAGAGTCTTCACTCAACGTGCCTGAGAAGAATCACCTAACTTCCAAGATTCCACACCTGAATGAAGCGCACTTTCTAGAAAGAGGCGCCCAGGGGATCAGTATTTTTCACAAGTGCCCCTCCAGTGACTGGGATGTTAACCATCGAGTATTTGTGCATTCCTACTTTGGACAACCTGGCAGGCTACTGAATGTGACCTGCCCACACGGCAGAGTCTGGCAAACTCCCCGTGGTGTACCCAATATGCCAAATACCAGTAGCAATGATGGGTCTCATTCTCCTAACTCTGAAAGAGCCTTGAATCTGGCATTTTTAAAAATAATCTCAGGGCTAGGACGAAGGAGACGTTACTGGGGCCTGCTCGAGGCAATCGACGAATAACAGGATGGTTGTGATTGGTTGATTGTGATTTGTGCAAGGAAGCAGAGGACTCTATTAATGCACAGAAAACGGAGAGGGGACTAAAAACAAACCAAAAAAAAAAAAAAAATAAGCCTGCAGAGAAAGAATACCTGGTATTCCTAGTTCTTAAACGCGGAACGATGGACTGCGGTTCCTCAGGCGTGGTCAGCATCATCACAGAGCCATCGGGAAAGAACCTCATATACCTGCAGGAAAAGAAAATCAGCACCCAGATGCCACACACTCAACACACAGAACAAGCTTACGGGTCGGCACCAAAACCTGTTTGTTCATGACCACAAAACCAGAAGGTATTGGGATACCAGGGCCAAAGAACCACAACAGAGAAATCAAAATGAACACGATCGATGATCTGGGAGGCCAGCAACAAAGAACTAAGGCATTTTATTCCTTTTCCTTCGAGGGAACTGCTGAGCTTCTAGCTTTACTCACACAGTCCTGCTCTACGCCCTGTGTTTTCCCTGAAAGCACCTCTTAAGGTCAACGTGAAATCTACTTCCATGATATACACAGTTACTGTAGCACTGTAGCACCGTCCTCCCGTTATTCATCGATTTGCTCCAGCGGGCCCAGTAACGTCTCCATTGGAGACTTTGTTGTTACTGTGTTTGGCATATCGAATACGTCATGGGTAGCTTGTTAAGCTTTGCCGTGCGGGTGAGATACTCTCGGTAGCTTGCCGGGCTCTCCGAGAGGGGCGGAGGAATTGAACCCAGGTCAGCCTGGTCAGCCGCGTGCAAGGCAAATGCCCTACCGCTGTGCTATCTCTCCGGCCCAGGTAACATAAATTTCCTCATTTCTCAAAGACGGCAATATCTGATGAACAATAAGGCTGACCAATAATGCACGCTATTTAAATGGCGAGTAGGTATACACAAAGGGGCAGAATAAAAGCAACTATTCTAAGCTGTGAGGGGACTCTGGTTCAGAGGCCAGGAGGAACGAATGTCTAGTGACCCTTGGTTCTCTGAGTATAGTTCCTATTATCCTATTCAGTTAAAAAAAAAAACAAACCCAGATGCAATCTGTAGATAAATAGAAAAACTGCAAAGAATCGATGTCCAATAAAAAAAAATGAACGAGTACATGGAGAGAGAGAACGTTTCACTCACTCAGTTTACTACAGTTGTACCTGTAATATTCCACTTGGTGCCACGCTCTATAGAAACCATCGAGAGACTGTTCCCCCTGACGAATATATGTGGTCTTACTGATATACACGCCTGCAAAAGAGAAGGGAAACTGCTGGGAACAAGATGCTTAACAGCCACCACCACCAAGAACACAGTGCCTTTTATTTTGTTGTTCCCGTGGGACACACACACACACACAGAGACACACACACATTGTCAGGGTTGTTCCTAGGAGTGCTCAGGGGCTCCTGCACGGCCAGGCATGTGCCCGGGACTCCAGCACAGAGCAGACACGCCAGCCTTCTGAGTCCTCTCCAGCCCGAACCCTCACCCCCAATCTTAATTTTCATCATGGTTTCTTTCAAATATGGTCAGAGAACTCACACCTGTTCCAGTAAACCGACATTGTGTCTTCTTTCCCCAGAGCAGAACGGCAATCTCCCACCCTCTCCACCCCACCCCCCACCCCCTAGCCCCGGGTGCTAAAGGGTTCCACTTACCATCAAACCGTACACGGGGTCTCTCTAAAAACATCTCTCTCCAAGACGTGTAGGGCACAAGTTTAATACAGCTTCTGCCCCAGACTCTCAAGCAGGCCAAGCGCCATATTTCAGGGTCTCTAAGAAATGAAGGCACGAGAGAGAGAGAGAGAGAGAAAGAGAGAGAGAGAGAGAGAGAGAGAGAGAGAGAGAGAGAGAGAGAGAGAGAGAGGTGAGATCCTCACCGGCGGACAAAAGCAGCAGAACTCTGCTAGCAGCGAGTGCTCCTTCCACTGGGCGCCCGTGGGGTGCCCGCCCGGGCACCAGACAAAAAGGAGGACAGGGCAGGGGTCCTGCTCCTTCATGGATAGAAAAGCAAACAGAAACACAGAACATCGACGTTCCAGCTCAGGTGTTCAGGACGGAAACCAGCCGATCAGGGCAGAGGAGCAAGGGCACTGGTTGGAAGCCAACAGGTCGTTTCAGAGCAGACAGAGAAGAAAGGGCTCTCCAGGATGGGGTCCACGGTGATGTCCTCTGGCCAGGACCTGCAGCAAGTCCTCAGGCAGGAGTGGGGCTGGTGTGACCCACAGAGGGGATGGGGCCGGAGACAGTAAAGGATGGTGAAGTCTCGAGCACCCGTCTGAGACATCAGCAGAGGCTGGCTGGCGGAAGAAGCCACTGGAGAGAGGGAGGCCCTGGCAGCATTTGGGGCCAGGGCTTATGCTTTTAAAAGATCATTCTAAGGGCCTTTCCTCTCCGCCCCAACCAGGGCTCCGGCAACCGAAGACCTCCAGCACCAGCCACCACCATGCTGAGACCACTCTCCGCACACATGAAGGTACCAGCAGAGGAACAAAGGCATGCGGGTCCCGGGACTGAGATCTCCAAGCCTACTCGGATCGGGTCTGAGCATCCTCCACCCAGATCCTCTGAATTCCAGTAGGCAGGGGTCACACCCACCAACTGGCCCCCTGGCGCCGTTTAATCCCATCAATGGCCAAGACCCAGAGACTATAAAACCCAGCTCCTGGAAGCGACATCTTATTATCTCATTCCTACTTTGGACAAACTGGCAGGCTACCAAATGTAGCCTGCTCACACGGCAGAGTCTGGCAAACTCCCCGTGGCGTATTCAATCTGCCAAATACCAGTAACAATGATGGATCTCATTCTCCTAACTCTGAAAGAGCCTTGAATATGGCACTTTTTTAAAAAAAAAAGTCTCAGGGCTAGGACGAAGGAGACGTTACTGGGGCCTGCTGGAGGCAATCGACGAATTGTGATTGTGATTCTAGGGGCCAGAGAGAGTGGGCAGGGCTCTTAAGCCTGTCTCACACGCGGCTGAACCAGCTCGATTCCTGGCTGCACTCAGTCTCCCGGGTACCACGCGAGGAGTGACCCCTGAGCACTGAGTCAGGAGGGACCCAAGTCCTACTAGGTGAGGCCAAAGGCTTAGAAGAAAAGATCACACTAGTGGTCTTGGAGAACATGCTTTTGGGATGCAGGAGCAGAGAGAGAGAGAGGCCTTGTAGCAGGCTGCCGTAATGCAGACTAGGCATTGTGGTAGCTGACCCACCAGAACGGTGCCCAGGGAAGCAATGATGCGGTCAGACAGGAGAGAGAAGTGTTTTCCCTTAGGGGTTGGAGATGGGGGGGTGGGGTGACACCCAGCAGTGCTCAGGGGCTATTCTTGGTTCAGGGACCGTACGTGGTACTGGAGAATCAAACTAGGGGTGGCTCCATGCAAGGCAAAGACCTTGCTTAATGTGTTCTCTCTCTGACCCAGGAGCTGTATTTTGAAGACTGTGTTAAGAAACAGTGCAGAAGGGCTGGAGCCATAGCACAGCGGGTAGGGCGTTGGCCTTGCACGCAGCCGACCCGGGTTTGATTCCCAGCATCCCATATGGTCCCCTGAGCACCGCCAGGAGTCATTCCTGAGTGCATGAGCCAGGAGGAACCCCTGTGCATCGCCAGGTGTGACCCCAAAAGCCAAATAAATATATAAATAAATAAATAAAAATTGTCTTTTTAGGGGCTGGAGAGATAGCACAGCTGCTAGGGCATTTGCCTTGCACGCAGCCAACCCAGGTTCGATTCCCAGCATCCCATAGGGTCCCCCGAGCAACGCCAGGAGTAATTCCTGAGTGCATGAACCAGGAGGAACCCCTGTGCATTGCCGGGTGTGACCCAAAAAGAAAAAAAAGAAAAAAAAAAAAAGAAATAGCGCACAGCTCATTTGTGGAATATAAAGTAACAGCATGGGAGATTTACACCTAAGAGATGAGTACCAGGAGGATTGCTTCACGGCCTGGAAACCAGCCCCACGTGCTGGGAGAAAAGGCAGTTCAGATAGAAAAGGGACCACCAAGTAAAGGGGGCTTGGAGGGCCCACTCAGGATGGGAGATGTGTACTGAGCGTAGACTACAGACTGAACATGATCACCACTTAATGCCTGCATTGCAGACCACAATACCCTAAAGGAGAGAGTGAGTAAAAAGGGAAAGGCCAGGGGGAGGGGGGGAGGGATACTGGGAACACTGGTGATGGAGAATGGGCACTGGTGGAGGGATGGGCACATACTCGATCACTGTATGACTGAAATGTGAGCACGAAAGTTTGTAAGTCTATAACTGTATCTCACGGTAATTCATTCAAAAATTAAAAATTAAAAAAAAAAAGAAATAGTGCAGAGAGGGCTGGAGCAATAGTACAACGGATAGGGCGTTGGCCTTGCATGTGGCCAACTTGGGTTCCATTCCCAGCATCGCATAGGGTCCCCCGAGCACCGCCAGGAGTAATTCCTGAGTGTGGGGCCAGGACTAACCCCCTGAGCCCCTGAGTATTGCGGGGTGTGACCGAAAAAGCCCTCCCCCCCCCAAAAAAAAGAGTACAGAATGGTGAACCAAATCTACCACAAATAGATGTTATTCTGATAGAGCTCAAAATATTTTAAATTCCACCTATGACTTGAAACACTTGAAAGTTGTAAGTTCTGCTAATATTGGAGCAGCCTATAAAAGATACCCCCTTCAATTGTTACTGGGATGTTATCTTTAAATTTCCTCTTAATGAATTTTTTATCCCTGAAAATTTACTTTCTTCTGTCAATTTCCTTATAATATTTCTCATGTACAATTTTTAAAAATGTTAGCACAGGGGGCTGGAGCGATAGCACAGCGGGTAGGGCGTTTGCCTTAAACGCAGCCGACCCGGATTTGAATCCCAGCATCCCATATGGTCCCCCGGGCACCGCTAGGAGTAATTCCTGAGCGCAGAGCCAGGAGTAACCCCTGTGCATTGCCAGGTGTAACACAAAAAGCAAAAAAAAAAAAAAAAAACTCAAAAAAAAAAAAAACCAAACTGTTAGCACAGTAACAGTGCGGATTCCAGCTTCAAAACACAGGCATGTGATTAATCCAAGAGGTGATTAATGGGCAGTTACTACAGAGCACAGAATCACACGCACATGTACACACATACAAATTTAAAGGAATCCAAATGTTTTACCCAAAATGCAAGACTCCAAATAAAATAGGATATGCCAAAATCAGTAACAATAACAGGTCTCATTCCCCTGACCCTGAAAGAGCATCCAATACGGCAGCATTGGGAAAGACGAGTAAGGAGAGGCTGTTAAAATCTCAGGGGTGGGACGAATGGAGACATTACTGGTGCCCGCTCGAGTAAATCGATGAACAACGGGAAGACAGTGACAGTGACAGTGACTTTTTTTTTTTTACTTTTTTTTTTTTTGCATCTACATTTTAAGAATTAAAACTTATCTGCTAAACTCTAGAGGCCGAGAACTAAGTCTATGTTTTTATAGAAGAGACCTATGACAAATTTATTGCCGGTTTCGAATGATCTGCGGGACGGGGGTGAGCTGGGCCACACGTGATGATGCTCCGGCATCCTAAGGTTGTGCTGAAGGGGTTCCGATGTGGTGCTGGGGATTAAACCACGTTTGGCCAAGTGCAGAAAAACGCATTTTTCACTGTATGCTCGCTCTGGTCCCACCTTCCATTTAACGACTCATTCTCGAACCATAAAGCAGCATGGACTTACCTTTTGGATGCCATTCCTCAAAGAGAATACTGAGCCCCTTTTTTATTTTGGAAGAGGGGATTTGGTACCACCCCCAGTGGGCTGACTCCTGGCTTTACTCCTGGCTCTGTGCTCTGGGGGCCAAGGATCTTACTGGTGTCAGTAGCGTGCAGGGCAAGTGCCTTCCCCGCTATATTTTCCTGCCAGCCCTACCTAGTCTCAACTGATTTTCCAGCACACTATGATTATTTTATTTTTATTTTTATTTTTTGCTTTTTGGGTCACACCCAGCAACGCTCAGGGGTTACTCCTGGCTCTGCACTCAGGAATTACTCCTGGCGGTGCTTGGGGGACCATCTGGGATGCTGGGAATCGAACCTGGGTCGGCCGCGTGCAAGGCAAACGCCCTCCCCACTGTGCTATGGCTCCAGCCCCACTATGGCTATTTTTAACAGCAATTTTTTGTTTGCTTTGGTGACAGCTGGCTGTGCTCAGGGCTTACTCTTGGCTCTGTGCTCAGGCATCACTCCTGGCCGGGATTCGGGGACCATATGGGGTGGTAGGGACTGAACCCAGGTCGACCACATGCAAGGCAAGTATCCTGCTCACACGGTACCCTCCTCTCTGGCCCTCATAGCAAGATTTTCAAAGTATAGGGCAACTTTTAGTAACCTCAAAGAAAATTTCACTGTGATCTGATTTAACTTAACTTAGACTTGACAGGTTGGAGAGTAACCATGAAAAAGGCTAAAGTAAAATAAACAAAGGGGGACAAAAAAACACAACTACAGTCTATTTTTCTAACAATTTTTTTCCAAATCAATTACGCTAACATGCAAACAATCTATGCAAGCAACAAATCGGGCTACAGCAAATCTACGCACGATGTCATTACCCTCGGAAACTAGTGCACTACCTTTAAATGGTACACTGTCGGAGAGAAGTCATATATAGCTTATTACTCACTCAGAGCTTCTGCCCACAACACGCCATCCTTCTGATCAAAATTGGGAAGAGAAGAGACACTGTCTTCTCTCCCCATGCTGGAACTGTGTTTTACAAAGTACCTGGCACAGATGTAGAATCCTCTGCACACCAGTGACAGCTGCTCCAAGGATCTGAGGTCCAAGTCACTGGACACCACCCACCGGAAGATGTACATCAGCACCTCCATGGGTAGGACTGCGGAAGGAAAAAAAGTGTCCTCCTGGTGAGCCATGTTACTGCCCCTTCTCTGCACAGTTCCTCTGTGTCTTCCCTCAGCACTGCTCAGAGTCACAGCCAGAGTGAACTGAAGGATCAGGGAGGAACGTCGGGAGAGCAAGTGTACGCCTTCATGCATGAGACCCTGGGTTCGAGCCCCGGCACCAAAAAAAAATCCAAAACCCAAACCCAAAGTAACGTATTTGAGACTTTCTCAAAAGTCATATTGGTTCCTAAGAGAAGATACAGAACATCTTTGCTTTTTCAGGGAAGAACAGATCTGAAGCTATTTTTTTAATTTATCTGATTGGGGGGGCCACACCCAGTGATACTCAGAGGCCCCTCCTGGCTGACTGTTCAAGGGCTGCTCCCAGAGTGTTCAGGGGACCATCCCCAATGCCGAGGGTCATTCTGGGCCTCCTGCAAGCAAAATATGTAATGAAGCTGCTTTTAAAAAAAAAAAAAAACCCTTTCCTCAGGAAGATCATCTGCTACCAAGATATTAAATGTGTTAGAAATGAGCCCACTAGGTGTGCAAGTATACAGGACTCCTATTGCATCTGTTGATACAGGTTATTTTTTAATTATTATTTATTTATTTTTTCTTCTTGGATCACACCCGGCAATGCATAGGAGTTCCTTCTGGCTCATGCACTCAGGAATTACTCCTGGCGGTGCTCGGGGGACCCTATGGGATGCTGGGACTCGAACCTGGGTCGGCCGCATGCAAGGCAAACGCCCTACCCGCTGTGCTACTGTTCCAGCCCCACATGTTATATTTTTTTTTATTAAAAAAATTTTTATTAGTGAAACATCATGAGGTACAGTTGCACACTTACAAATTTTTGTGCTTGGGTTTCGATTAAACAATGATCGAACACCCACACCTCCACCAGTGCCCATTTTCCACCACCTCGGATCCCAGTATCCCTCCCCCCCCCATCTCCCCCCGCCCCCATCCCACCCTGCCCTCTGTGGCAGGGCATTCCCTTGTGTTCTCTCTCTCCTATTGGGTGTTGTGGTTTGCAAAAGAGGCAATGGGTGGCAATCATGTTCGGTCCATAGTCTACTTTCAAATGCATCTCCCCTCCTGGGAGGATCCTCCAAACACCCTTCATTTGGTGCTCCCTTCTCTATCTGAGCTGCCCTTTCCCCTAGAATGCCCAGCTGGCCTCTAGGCCATGGAGTAATCCTCCTGGTACTGATCTCAGCCACTCTTGGGTGTTAGTCTCCTATTTTGTTACTTTATGTTCCCCAGATGAGTGCAATGTTTCTGTGTCTGTCCCTCTCTTTCTGACTCATTTCGCTTAGCATGATACTTTCCATGTTGTACCACTTGTACGTAAATTTCATGACTTTGTCTTTTTTAACAGCTACATAGTACTCCATTGTGTAGATGTACCAAAGTTTCTTTAACCAGTCATCTGTTCTCGGGCACTCAGGTTTTTTTTTCCAGATTCTGGCTATTTTCCACATGTTATTTTTAATCTTAAAAACTTTCAGCTGTTCTCTTTTGAAAAAATGTTCTGGCAAAACGATACTCATTTATTTATGAGCATTTTGGACCATACCTGGCTGTGCTCAGAAGCTACTCTAGAGCTCAGAGGCCAAGCCGTCACGGAGACCGAACCTGGGACAAAGATGTGCTCCAGTCCTCTGAGCCAAATTCTGGGCCCCACAACAACATTCGTTTAATTAATTCATCCCTATGTGTGGGCTGGAGCGACAGCACAGCGGGTAGGGCGTTTGCCTTGCACGCGACAGACCCAGCCGACCTGGGTTCGATTCCTCCACCCCTCTTGGAGAGCCCGGCAAGCTACCGAGAGTATCTCGCCTGCACGGCAAAGCCTGGCAAGCTCCCCGTGATGTATTCAATATGCCAAACACGGTAACAACAAGTCTCACGATGGAGACGTTACTGGGCCCACTCGAGTAAATCGATGAACAACGGGAGGACAGTGACAGTGATCTCTGTGCATAGGGGGAAACCACACCTGACTGGGCTGAGCACTAAGTCCTGGCTCTACAATCCCTGGCAGCGTTCAGGGGACCATCTGTAGTGCTGCGGATCTAATGGCTGTGTGCAAGGCAAGCCCAGAGTACTCTCTCTCTGGCCCCAACAGTCAGCCTATCTCATGACTACTGGCTGGAACACCTGATACCAGAAGAGTTCCAATTTATTTTATTTTTAATATTTATTTATTTTGAATACCCATCCCTCCGCCAGTGCCCATTTCCCACCACCACGGATCCCAGTATCCCTCCCACCTCACCCCCCCAATCCCCCCCCTGTCTCTGTGGCAGGGCATTCCCTTTTGTTCTCTCTCTCCTCTTGGGTGTTGTGGTTTGTATAAGAGTTAAGCCTGATTTTCAGGGAGAAACGTGGGATGATTTACTTTCCATTGATCACTTTGTATATAGGGAGATGCCGCATAAGCGGCTGCGCAGTTTGGAGTAAAAGTCCTGGTTCCCGCATACTCGAGTTACGCTTGTAGAGGCTCATGGTCACCAGGGTTCCATCTGGAGAAGGCAGGATGCGGCACCTACCCAATCTGGGACTTCCCGGTGATCTCAGCTCTGTTTGGGACCTGGAGCATTCTCCAGAAGCTGTGGAACCTCCCAGCGGCCTTTTTCCTCATCCAATTTATTTTATTTTTCTTGCTTTTTGGGTCACACCCAGCGGTGACACAGGGTTTACTCCTGGCTCTGCACTCAGGAATTACCCCTGGCGGTGCTCAGGGGACCATATGGGATGCTGGGAATTGAACTCAGATCGGCCACGTACAAGGCAAACGCCCTACCCGCTGTGCTATCTCTCCAGCCCCCCAATTTATTTTAAAGCCACTCCAATGAACCACTTAAGATCTTCACAGGGGGGCTTGAGGGTGGGGGTAGCACCCAGTACCCAGTCTCTCCCCATAGTTTACCCCAGAACAATGCACATCGTCAGCAAGTTATCTGCTCATGTCGGTCTGGAAAACTTAATCCTGAGGTTGCAGTATTCCGAACAAGGTTTGTTTTGGGTTTGGGGGCCACACCCGGGGCTCAGGCCGTACTCCCGGCTGGCTCCGTACTTAGGGATCAACCCCGACGGCCTCAGGGAACCAAACCCGTGCAGTGCTGGGGACCGAACCTGGACCCGCCGCAGGCCACCGGCTGTACTGTCCCCCCAGCCCACTGGCGACGTTTCGACGAGCGCGAGTTCTCGTACCTGAGATGTGAGTCTGACTGCTCTCGAGCTCAGGCTGGCACAACTTGAGCACAGACTCCTGAAACGAGAGCTGCTGCTGGAAGTAGGACAAGAGATCTGCCATCTTGCCATCACCGTCCTCATCGTCATCATCGTCATCATCTTCAAGGCTGAAAACAGGACGGAAGAGAACAAATCAGATACTGTTCCACACACGGAGCACGGAGACTGACTTTTCAGAGCTCCCAAATCCACTTCTGTCATCTAAAAGCAAAGCAAACTTTCTTCCTTCGTCTTCTTCTTTTTTTTTTTTTTTGACATGTACGCTTATCTTTGTGTTTATTTTTCGGTTTTGGACGACATCCCGTGCTGTTCAGGGCATACTTCTGGCTCTGTACTCGGGGTCACCCCTGGTGATCCAGCCCTTGTGTAAGTCTACCTTTATCCTACCCTGCAAAGGTTGCCTTGGAGGCAAGGGGGGGAGTTTCAGTTATTATGATTACCAACTAAAAAAGAATTTTTGGACACAGGAACTGAGTTTTACTCAAATTTCTGCTGCAACACAGATCTCAGGAGTCAATGAAAAAAGATCATTTCAAGTGGCTTATAAATGCCCATGTAAACAACTTCTTCTGAGCAACAATAAGTTACTCAAAGTGGATAAAAAGAAAATGCCGTCCTCTCAACAACTACTTACCAAGGATATTCTAATAGATGTGACTTTGCGTGTCACCTAAAAGTTCATAAATCATCTACCAATTTAAGAAAAAAAAAAACATGTGTACTTGTGAGTTCTAAAAGAATATTCTAGCTTTTTTACTTTTTGCTGAAACCTTGCAATGATGACTCACAAAAAAAAGCCTGGATGAGGTTCAAGTCAGAAAAGTCAGGAAACCAGGATGATTTATACAAAAAAGGAAGTCGTGGCTGAGACTAGACGGACTCAACGGCTACTGGCCGGCATTCCACAGAAAGCAAAAGCCATCAGAGACTTTCAGGATTTATTATTAGATGGGGAGAGGGAGAGACAGAAAGAGCGAGGGAGACAGGGAGAGAGAGACAGGGAGAGAGAGAGAGAGGGAGAGAGGGAGGGAGGGAGGGAGGGAGAGAGGGAGGGAGGGAAAGAGAGAAACTACTTTTAAAATCTTTCACAGAATCTACATTTATAAAAAGAGAAAAGAGAGACAAAACTGCTTTTTTTACTATTTCAATAGGATCATTCTCAACAGTATGTACCATCTATTTAAAAGTTTCTTTTAGGGGGGGCTGGAGCGATAGCACAGCACGTAGGGTGTTTGCCTTGCACGCAGCCAACATGGCCAACCTGGGTTCGATTCCCAGCATCCCATAGGATCCCCCAAGCACTGCCAGGAGTAATTCCTGAGTGCATGAGCCAGGAGTAACCCCTGAGCATCGCTGGGTGTGACCCAAAAAGCAAAAAAAAGAAAAAAAGAAAAAAAAGTTTCTTTTTGGTTTTTTGTTGGGTTTTGGGTTTCTTTTGTTGTTGTTGCTGTTTTTTGTTTTTGTTTTTGTTTTTTCAGTTTTTGGGTGATACCTGGTGGTGCTCAGGGCTTACTCCTGGCTCCGTGCTCAGGGATCACTCCTGGCAGGCTCAGGAATTACGTACGGGGCTCCAAGGATCAAACCCAGGTCAGCTGCATGCAAGGCAAGGACCCTCTCAGTACTATCTACTGCTCAGGCCACCCAAATTTAAAGGATGCTGAGAAAAGCCCAGATTTCCCCTGCATATGCACAACCTCACACTGTAAAACCGATTGAGCAATAATAATAAGACCAAAGTTCAAAAAGGCAATAATACTGAGCTCTTGGAATGTTTTTGACGTGCCTACAAATGATACTATTGAGTAGTTTGAAAGATTGGAAATAATCGTGTATAAATAAGAATGTGTATAATAAAAGCATCCTTTTCGACAGACCCTGAGATCTGGCCTACAGACTGGGCTCAGCACCGCGGGGGACAGGATGGGGCAGACAGGCACTGGGGCGGGCTTCAGTGGGAGGCTGCAGTGCTGGTATGAATGGTACGAAGCCCTCTCACTTACAGTGTTACTAATTGTGGTGCTTCCAATTAAAAATGATTTTTTTTTTCATTTTTAGAAAAGGAAAAAAATTGGGGCTGAAGCAATAGCACAGCAGGTAGGGCGTTTGCCTTGCATGTGGCCGACCCGGGTTGATTCTGGGCAGCACCACCAGGAGTCATTCCTGAGTGCAGAGCCAGGAGTAACCCCTCAGCGTTGCTGGCTGTGATCCATAAAGCAAAAAATAAAATAAAGTAAAATAAATAAAAGGATAAATGATATGACAGAGGTTATGCATAACACATTCAAAAACCTGTATCTAATTCATAAAACTTTAGTTTTTCAGGACTGTTCATTTTAAATCGGACCTGCCTCCTGGGAGAATCCAATGACGGATTCATTTGACTCCCTCGACGTTGAATATCAGCCACTTAGGTTTCTAGAGGTAAGAGTACTTAAGGCAGTACAATTTTTGGGGGGGAGGGGTCTCCAGCAATGCTCAGGAGTTACTCCTGGCTCTGTGCTCAGGGATCACCTCTACCGTGCTCAGAAGACCATATGCAACGCCGAGGGATCTGACCTGGGTTGGGCACCTGCAAGGCAAGAGCCCTACCTACTGTACTATCTCTCCACCCCCCAATGCAGTGCGATTTTTATAACTGCATTAAAAAAACACTCCACTGAAGTATTGAAGACAATAGAGCTCAGTGGGTTGCGTGAGTGCTCGGACGTGCGGGAGGATGGCCCCCATAATGCCAGGCCTCCAAGCAGCTACAAGGGGCAACCCCCACCCCCTCCAGTAGAGTTGGCAGTAAGCCCCCAAGCACCGCCAGGTGAGGCCCCAAAACAAAATACAGAAATAAACACAAATCGAAAATTACTTTGAAAGTACAGAATGACGTATTTTTGACCTTAGCCTAGATAAAGCCATCAAGACCACTTCATTGGCAACTTCAAAGGAATACCTGTCTATCTACCTCTCTATACATGTTTATATGGTTTTTCTCTTTTGGTTTTGGGGAAACGTCCAGCTGTGCTCAGGAGACGAAAGGCAGTGCTGAGGACCAAACCAGAGTCAGCCACGTGCGGATGCTCTGGTACCATCACATGTTATGATGGTACACAACATCCCCAGTCCCAGAAACGACTGTTCCAGTCAGGACAAGAGAGACAGAATAGCAGGTAGGGCAAAGCACTCCATATGGTCGCCCAAGAACCACAGGGAGTAATTCCTGAGTGCAGAACCCGGAGTAACTCCTGGGCATCGCGGGGGGTGTCCCAATAACCAAAAATCAATCAAATAAAATCCAAGTACCCTATCAGCCAGTTTCGACCATTATCATTCATTATTCTGTCAACTCTGGTCTAATAATATTTTAACGGTTTCAACGATTTTTTTTAAAGCTTAGAAAATTTACTAGCAGCCTTAAAACTGTTTTATGAAAGAGACTTCCTGTCACAGATTCAGAAAAAAAAATTCAAAAACTTTCCCCCCTCCCCTTTTATTTAGACATGATGATTTACATAGTAGCTTACAATCCATTTTCAGGCATTCAATATTCCCACCTCTGGTCCCACCACCCTGGGACCTCATCCCTCAACCGATGACCTCATATTCCCTTCCCATCCTGATTCAGTTTTAACAATACTTAAAACAAACAAATAAATAAATAAATAAAAGGGGGGAAAAATTTACAATCGTCACAACTGCATGGAACCGGGAAAAAAAAAGTTAAAAACTAAAAAAAAATTCAAAAAATTAAAGCAAAATTAACTGCCTTCCCTTGTGTTGTTCTTGCATGGCAGCTGCAGTGACCAGGGGTTGAGCTCAGTTGGCTCCAGGCGCCCAGGTGACGCCTGGCAGAGACCTCCTGGTCTCAACCACCCTTCACAGCAAGAGCTCTAGCGCTGACGTATCCCTGCACCCCAACAGTTTGAACCGATTTCAAAAGTTAAAATGTGTTTTAATGTTCTTTCGATGACCACTTTTATTAAAACACCCACAACTCTTTTCACCCGACTTTTGCTTGAAATGCGTATTTCTATGTTTTAACTTTAAAACTTGCCTAGTTAACATTTTCTACAAGTGTGTAAACAGGTCTTTATGCTAAGGACTCTAGAACTTAACAGAATCAGCACCGTCTTCTTATCGGGTTAAACATCGACAGGGAACAGATGCTTAACTTTAACAAACTCTACGCATTACTGTCTATCAAATTATATACGCACTAGCTGTTTCCAACGCCATCACCATCTGGAGACCGGGTATAAGTAATCTTGAACTCTATATCAGGTACAAGCTGCATGGCCCTACGATAAAACTTGATGGCTAAAAGAAGAAATAAAGCTAGATTAGCTATGACCACACATTTTTAAAATTTCCTTTGATCATCCGTAACTGCGGTTAAATTTGGAAACATCCTTACATAAGCAGCCAAATTCCCTTTTTCTGCACATAACCGCAGTTCAGTGGACAAGCGTATTTGCAAAACTGTAACTCAAAAATCATGTTTTTTTTTTCCTAAAGCTGTCATGTTACAAAAACTTAAGATGTTATTTTTTTTTTTGTTCTTTTACCTCTTTCTCGTCTTCTCATTCACACTTCAAAGTATATTGAATCTTAGGTGGCTGTGAAAATGCAACCATTGTAGCCCTAATAGAAAGGCTTTTAGCCAATCTTTCTTTATAAGATGCATCGTTGAAGGAAGTCAAATGACTCCTAGTGAATGGAATCCAAACAAGTTTTCTGAAATGAATCCTGAAAATCCAAATTTCTTTTGTCCAACTGCCTCTCACTTAAGCCTGTTAGGTCTTCTGTGAATTTCCTGGACAGGTGTTTACAACTAAAATATTTATTATTAGTCTTTCCCATGATACATATAAATACAATGTAGAACCCAATTAAGTCCCCACCACCAGTGAAAATAACACTCAACTCAACACCATTCTCCCCTATTTTATTTCTCTGGGTGAATTCCTGCACTCTAAGAGGAGATAAAATTTGACCATTTGGGCCTTTTAAACATCTCACAGTTAAAAAAAAAAAAAGCCATTTAAATGCAGCAGTTCCGAGAATGTTATTTTTGGGGGCACAGTCCAGTGATTCAAGCACTGGCATTTTTCTTATGCCCCGTGTATTAGCTTTACTCTCACTAAATGAAAGCTGAAACTACCAGACCAGTGCAGTGAATAATTTTTATCCCTGTATGCATTTTGGTCGGATTCATGAAAGGAACAAATGAAGCTCGGGGTATTCCTTTTTCTGAAACGAAAATTGGACTTCAGAAAACACGTATACATCCTCACTCCGTCCTTGACACTCTCCTCCTCTAAAATAATTTTACTATCGACACAATTTTTCAGAATTCTTGCTTTCTTTGGGCTTCGGGTCACTCCTGGCAGCATGTGGCTCCAGGGTCATTTCTGGCAGTGACCCAGGCACCGCACCAGGCTGAGATCACATCCAGGACCCCTGCATGCAAACCATGCGCTGGGCCCACCAGCCGGCTCTTGGTCTCTTCTGTGACTCTGATGAGGGTCTGGGCTGGAGAGGGCACAGCAGGCTGGCACGCAGGTCTTGCCTGGCTTCCCAGTACCGCACTGTCCCAAAGCACTGCTGGGAGCACATCCCAAGGACCGAGCTTGGAGGCTCCCCTGAGCATCACGTGCCAACGCTGTGCTTGCTCAGAACACCCACAAGGAAAAAAAAGACAAGAATAACTAAGAAACACTAAAGCCTACCTGAAGAAAAAGGTTACTTTGCTTATGATGCCACTACTATGTTTCCCAGAAATATTTTTTGGAGCGAGGAGGGCTGTATAGATTTTCGTTTGTGTGCCCTCGACCACACCCAGCCCCGATGACTCAGGAGTCACTTCCAGGGATGCCGGGGATCGAGAATTAACCCAAACCTCCCACACGGAAAACATGAGCTGTGTAAGCTATCTCCCTGGCCCACTGAATTGTTAAAACCTTTCTTTTAAATTTTTTAAAGGAATTTAAAAATACCAGGAGATTAACATTCTGTACCAAATGTATTCTAGGGAGAGAGAAAATTGAAATTGATCAATAACAAAGCGGTGATTTTCGTACTGTTATGACAACATGGTTCAAGTCCTAAGTTTTTACCTTCATAGAGAGCTCCATTTCGTTCCTCTTCTACTGCTTTTAGGAAGAGTTCACGAGCCTACAAAAAAAAAAAAAAAAAACCACCAGTGAAAAACTATTTTTGAAAAGCGATATTTACATGAGTACAAACAGCAGAATAATGTTAGAACAACTGGGACCTCTATAAGCTAAATAACAAACCAGAACCTACCTCTTGAACCTTAAAATGGATCACGGACTTAAATGCAAAACTTTTAGGGGGGCAAAAAAATAAAGGAAGTTGGAGATCAAGAATCAGGATGAGTTAAAGCAAAAGAAAGGAAAAGGAAAAAGGAAAAAAAACTGTTCATGCACAACAACTCGGAAGACTCCGAAAGGAATCAGCGTACCAAGTTAATCTCAAAAGGTTCCACATTGATTCCATTTATACGATATTCTTGGAATATCAAAATCATAGGAAGAGAGAACAAACGAGTGACTGTCATTGGTCATGGAAGGTCAGGAAAAGCTGGAGAGTCATAACTGCAAAGACATAGCAAGAAGGACCTTTGTCGCAATAAAGCAGCCTGGTATCTTGATTGCGGTGGTCACTACAAGCAATACCATCGCAGAGAGTGCTGGACTCATACAAAATAGTGCTTGCTGATCTAAGAAATCTGAACAAGCACTGTGGGTTGGACCAATGTCTATTTCTAAGTCTTCTATAGCTCACTCTACCCAGGCAAGAGGCCATTTTCAGAGATCAAACTTAGGGGATCCTATGGTGTGTTGAGGTCAAGGTCTGAACCTGAACCTCCCGCATGGAAAGTAACAAAATAGGAAACTAACACCCAAGAATGGCCGAGATTAGTACCAGGAATTTTACTCCATGACTTGGAGGCCAACCACACATACTAGGGGAAAAGGGAGCTCAGATAAAGAGGGGAACACCAAACAAAGGTGTTGGGAGGATCCTCCCAGGATGGGAGAAGCATGCGGAAAGTAGACTACAGACCAAACATGATTGCCACTCAATGCCTCTTTTGCAGACCACAACACCCAAAAGGAGAGAGAGAACAGAAGGGAATGCCCTGCCACAGAGACAGGGAGGGATGGGGGGGATGGGGGGTGGGAGGGATACTGAGATCCATGGTGGTGGGAAGTGGGCACTGGTGGAGGGATGGTATTTGATCGTTGTATAATTGAAACCCAAGCACAAAAATGTGTAAGTCTGCAACTGTGCCTTGTGATGTCTCACTATTAACAAGTTTTTTAATAAAAAATAAATTTAAAAAAGTTAGTTGTTTAATATATGTCTCTGGTCCACTTTATTATTTATTTATTGTAAAGCACAATTTCAAATACAGGGAACATCAGGTATTTCTAATAAAAATTTAAAAAAAAAACAGAATGGGAATAATTTTCCCTCACGGTACTATCAGTTACTTCCGTGGCAAACTATTTATAAACAAAAGACTTGGAACTACTGATATAGAAATCACAGACTCTAAGAAACCAGAAAAGAGTACAGAGTATAACAGTTGCCGCATCTACTTCTCAACCATGAAGGAAGCCAAGAACAGAACTTAAAGATCCTTAGGAGCTGGAGTGATAGCACAGTGGGTTAGGCTCTTGACACGCATGTGGCTCACCCGGGTTTGAATCCCCAGCACCCCATATGGTACCCTGAGCACTGCTAGGAGTGATTCCTGAGCAGGAGCCAGGAGCACGCCCTGAGCACCACCGATGTGGTCCAAATCCCCACCCTACCCATCAAAATACAAAATAAAAACCTCTCCCCAGGGTAAGCACTTTCAACGTTTTCCAGAATAAGAAAACAAGGCATTATTCTAATACATGTGTTCAAATCAAAATATAGGGGCTGAGCAAACAGTACAGCAGGTGTGGTGCTTGCCTGGCATGAGGCTAACCCAGCACCCCATAGGGACCCCTGTGCGCAGGAGTGATCCCTGCAGGCAGGCAGGCAGAGCCAGGAGTAAGCCTTGAGCACCGCTGAGTGTGAATCAAAATGAAAAAGCCAAAGCAAATAACAGACCAAAACAAACACCACCACCCCCCTCCCCACCCCTCTGCCAAACCCAACCAAACCAAAATACTGCAGTTAAGTTGGAAATGTGTGTTAAGGTCTCCTTCCCTGTGCCACACCCTCCTCTTTGGACTTCTGTCACTAAATTTAGGGGCCAGTGCAGCAGCAGAGCAGATAAGGCACGTGTCTCAAATGTGGCTGACCGGGGTTTGGTCCCCAGTACCGCGTACGTCCCCCAAGGCCTGCTAGGAGTAAGCCCTGAGCACCGCCAGGTGTCACCAAGACAAAAAAAACAAGTAAGCAAAAAAGTTTAGGGCTGTACCAATAGTACAATGGGTGGAGATCTTGTTCTTACAAGCAGCCAACCCGGGTTTGATCCCTGGCACCCCATATGGTCCCCCAAGCCTGCCAGGAGTGATCCCTCAGTGCAGAGGAAGAAGTAAGCCGTGAGCATTGCCAAAACAGAAAAAAAAAAAATCAGCATCATCAATCTTTTGCAGAGCCAGGGAATGTCAGGGATGTAGGAATTACCACGAACAGTTCCAAGAAGACAGTGTGTCTGTAAGAAAGAAGCCCGTATCGTCCAAAGTCCCCAGAAGGAGCAGTGAGGGCTAAAATAAAGTGGCATGCTGGTCAATATTTTTCCACATGACATATTTTATCTTATTTAACTCTGTGTTTCCTTCATTAGAGCACAATAATAATGATCCGCGTGTCCATGAAAGTTTTTATGTGCGCCTCATTCCCTCTGCCAAAAAAAAAAGAAAAAAAGAAAAGAAAAGTGAATTTAGTAGGAGATGTCCATAATACTTAACTTTTCTTCTTTTGCCAGTTCTTGTTTTCCTTTGCCGTCTGCTGCTTTCAGTGAAGAACCTCTCGCCGCTCTGCCTGGTCGAGTGTCTACGCTCGTGCCCACACCTGGGGCAAGTTCAAACATCCACTGAGCTCGGAAGATCTGGAGCTGGGCCTAGCAGGAGACAACATCAGGGTTCACCGGGAAATCGTAGCTCGCCACAGGGACCCAACATAAATTGTCGTAAATATATTTTTTAAAAAAAAAACAGAAAACTGGGCTGGGGGAAGCTACTCTGGGTTGTATGTCAGGTTGAGTGTTCACCCGTACACAATTGTGGCCTCCCAGAGATCACAGACTCTGTTGGGGCACCAAAGGTCGCAGAGAAAAAAAAAGGACACTAGGAGTGACATCTGCACCTGTATGTTCACTGCAGCACTGTAGCCACAATAGCCAGAATCTGGAAATGACCCGAATGCCCGAGAACAGACGACTGGTTAAAGAAACCTTGGTATATCTACACAATGGAATACTATGCAGCTGTTAGGAGGGATGAAGTCATGAAATTTGCTTATCAGTGGATGGTCATGGAAAACATCATGCTAATTGAAATGAGGTAGAAAGAGAGGGACAGACATAGAAGGACTGCACTCATTTGTGGAATATAAAATATGAAACTGACACCAAAGGACAGTAGACAAGAGTATCCCACCCGCACAGCAGAGCCTGGCAAACTCCCTGTGGTGTATTCGATATGCCAAAAACAGTAACAATAACAGGTCTCATCCCCCTGACCCTGAAAGAGACTCCAATACGGCAGCGTTGGGAAGGACAAGTAAGGAGAGGCTGCTAAAATCTGAGGGCTGGGGCGAACGGAGACGGACGTTACTGGTGCCCGCTCGAGCAAATTGATGAAGAAGGGGATGACAGTCATACAGTGAATGCAGTAAAATCAATGATACTCTAGCACAGCACTCTTCCAACAGAAATTTGTGTGAAGATGTGCTTTTCAATTACGCTACATGTCTAGCTGTAAAGCGACTGAGATTAAAATATTTTACTAATTTATTTTTTCTGGTGACCTGGGCCGGAATGGGGGGGGTGGGCTTTATCCTTGGGTTCAAAGTTCCACACAGATGGCTCCATCTGTCCATTTAAATGACTGAATGGAAACTATGTATTCACTGTAAGGATACAACCTTACTTAAGGCAAAAAAGTGAATCTTTAGCTTGTATATCATTCTAATAAACATTGTTGCACATGTATGTATACCCATTTCCTGAGAATTTCCTGAAAGCTGATTTCCTTGATCAAAGAGAATGTAAGGTTTTTATTTTGATTCAATTATATTGGCTTGCTCTCCAAAAAAATTTTTTTACAGCTGACACTCTCATGAGAAACACAGTTTTCACAGTCTGGTTTTTAAAGAACTTAATATTATTATTATCTACTTCTCAAAACTACAAATGAGTCTAATTATCCCTTCGATGATTAAGGGATCTATATTATTTTTCCAATCAACGGTCAAACATACCTTTCTCTTAACAGCCCTCTTTTTTTTTTTTAATAAGAATGTTCTATATTCTGAAGATATTAGCCTCCGCTTTTTTGTGGCAGTTTTTCTAGCTAGATTATTTCTTGAGACTTACTGGATCTTTTGCTAGACACAGATTTTTAAATGCTTAGGAGGTGCAGCCTGTCAATCTTTCATTTACGGATCCCGAGTCTCACGTGAACCTTGGTTGGAATTCTTTAAACGCACATCAATCTACAAAGCTGGGCTTGCTGTGTTCTTTTGTACAGCAAAAAGAATTCCATTAACAATGCAAGTGTGCTAAAACAACCAGTGTGAAAACAGTTCCACAGAATTTGGAAAATACAAATCATAACGAGATTTCAGCTAATACACAGAATGATAGCTAAACAGAAAACATGCCTGCAGATCTGTTTCAGCAGAGCTTTCATTTTCCTCATCATTTCCTGCCCTGACAGCATCCGACTGACAATCTTCCTCAGCTTCTGCCTGTGAAGGAGAAAACCCAAACACTGATTACCAATGCATAATATATAGGCAAGACCTTTTCTCACTTGCTGATCCGGGGAAATTTCCTTAGATTTCCTCGTGGCTAACTTCTTCACCAGTAAATTTAATTATCCCAATCAGGTTACACTGAATACATTGTGTTTAATTATTGTGGTAACGGGGTTTACAACCATGTTAACTGTTTCTCCTTTTGATGTACATAGTTACTGCACCATTACTACCAAAAGCTTCAAAAACTCTCCAATATGGTCCTTAGGGAATACCTTTCTAACGCTGTAGAATAAGCAGCTTCACTGGTAAATATTTAAGTGGTGATTCAGAGCTTGACATCATAAAATAACACTTAATTACAGTACAAAGTCCAGCAAATAGATTTTTGTTTATTTGTTTGTTTTTTTACTATAGGTCAATGCACTTAGGTCATATAAAGTCCTTCTTTACACAACTGGCTATATTGGACTAAGAAAGCTCATTAATCAACAACATGTAACAGTGAATGTTTTTATAAAGAAGCCTTTTTATTTTATGAATTCAGATTTTAATATATTGCATTGACTTAAATAGAATAGAGCTAGATGGGATTACTGAGTGGCTTGAGGCTGAACAGACATTTCAGGCCAGGTTCCTTCATTTTTATCCTTTACTTTCAAATAAGCATTTGCTAAGCTGAATCTCACCTTCAAGAGAAAATAAAATGTGGCCTCACTAGCATCTATTAGCTAAGAGACTTATTTGCAAATGAGACTTGCTCAATAATGTAACATGCGCGGTCTTAAACAGAAATGTGGCAATCCAGAAAATGACCTTAAAGGTTTGTCAGAAATAAAAATAAATGTTATTTAATTTTACTCACTTCAAAGATGGCAAGTTTTATTAACTGCAAATACTGGTTGTAGGCTGTAACTTATTCCCAGGGCAAAAATGCTTATATGAACCACACATTTTGAACACATCAGATATACCGGGGTAACTTTAGAGCACAGCATAAATAAGCTGGGCTTTCTCTCTTATCTTGGGCAACCAGACTCAAAACAGACGTTCCTTAAGGCTTCAACTAGTTAATATAAGGTAAAGTGCTTGGCACACGGCAAAAGGCAAAAATCAATGAAAAGTACTTGAGAAAGGCCATAATTCTGAATGAATTCTGAGAAAAGTGAAATTTCGGCACAGTCACACTTATACATATATTTGCATCTATTTTAAATTGGGAGCTTGTCTAAGGTAAATACATGATGAAGGATTTGAATTAGAAATTACACCGAGAAGTCTCTAGCTTCTCAAAGTGCTTTAGTGCTGAGAAACCGAATTCCCTGAGGGTAGACTTTCAGTAATCCAGCCTCCTCAACTCTTGCCTGAAGTCAGGCTGACTTCAAGAGCTTCCCAAATTCTCTCCTATTCAGAATTATGTGCTCCTTGCTCTATACCAACAGCTTTTCCTTCTCCCTTGCTATTTCTCATCCTTCAAGATTCCAGGATTGAGGGCTGGAGCACTAGTACAGTGAGTTTGCCTTGTATGCGGTTGACCTGGTTTAATCCCCAGCATCCCATATGGTCCCCCATGCATTGCCATGAGTTAATTCCTGAGTGCAGAGCCAGAAGGAACCCCTGTGCATCGCCAGGGTGACTCAAAAAGAAAAACAGAAAAAAAAGAAAAAGAAAAAAAGGTTCCAGGATTATCCCAGAATGAAGCATCTTGTTTGCCCAGAGAACACAGGCACCATCGCAATTTCAGACTTGTATTGAGATGATTTTTTTCCTCTTTGCCATAGTCTGTGCACTGGAAACAAGATCATTAGCTGTCATCTTTATAACCTTTGGGCCAAATACGCCACCTGCTATGTATTCAAGGCGTGTCCATCTATAGGATGGTGGCTTTAGTGACCTCTGAGGTCTTTTCAATGATTAAAGGCTATATCCATGCATCATTTTAAGAAATTTAGTCCAATAATATCGTACCAACTTCTAGCACTATGCCAGTCTGGTAACTAAAAAAACTGGCTCCGAAAAATAGGCTGGATTATAAAATGTCAGGAAGGTGGACATGCGGTGAAAGCTGTTCCCTGACCTTAAACAAACAAAAAAGTCATTTATCCACGAATTCATACTTATGTGCATGTCTACTAGGACCTCCGTGGTTTGGTCCTTTCACCCGGGACTCCTTCAACCCTACTTTTTTTCTCCGCAGACGTTTTCCGAAGACGTTAAGAGAACTTGTGCCAGCACCAGAGCTGTCAGCGGGGAAGCGGCCTGGGCTCGGCCGTCCAGCGCGGCCCAACGAACGGGTCGGGGCACGCCCTGCGCGCGGCCTGCCCGGCCGGTTCTCCCCGCACGCGCAGGGCAGGTGTGCAAGAAGCCTGGGCCTCTGGTGGGGGCCGAGGACTCCCCGCTGCTGGGGCGCGATCCACAAGTGCGTGGCTTCCTGGGGCTCCTCCCGCCTCCCCAATTTCTCTGAGCGCGCGGGACAGGGTCCCAGGAGGGGCTGGACGGTGGGGGGCGCGGGGAGCAGACTGGCTGGGTGGGAGTGGGCTCTGGGTGGGTCATCGGCCAGCCCTTCCCCAACAAGGCTCCCGGGAATCTGCTTGCAACTGACCACCCGGGCCGGCTGGGACGGGGTGTGGGTCTGGGGGGGTGGGGGCAGGACCGCGGTGGAGGCGGCCCCCACCCTCCAGCCCTCACCGTAACGGGGGTGAGGGGGGTGGTCGCGCCACCTTCCCTCCACCTGGCAGGTCCCTGGTCCCTGCCCCCATCCCCCACCCCCTGCGTCCGCCTCCCCAATTTCTCCGCAGCGCGCGCGCCTCCCTCCCCGCTCAGTGCGCGCGCGGGACAGGGTCCCCCCGAGGGGCAGGACGGCGGGGGGCGGGCAGACGGGGTGGGTCGGGGGGAGGGGGTTCTGGGTCTTCGGCCCAACCTGCTCCCGGGAATCTATTTGCAACTGACCGCCCGGGCCGGCCGGGATGGCAGGACCGAGCCCCAGGGCGCAGTGGGGGCGGCCCCCACCCTCCCGGCCGCATCGCGGAGTGGGGGGGTGGTCTCGCCTCCTCCCCACCCCCCACCTGGCCGGTCCCGTCCCTGCCCGCCCCCCACCCCACCCCACCCCACCCCCTGCCCAGGTTACCATGCTGGGGGGGCGGCCCGTGCGCGGGGTCGCCTACTGTCGCCTGCGTGCCGCGCGGCGCGCGCGCGCGCGGGGGGCTCAGCAGAGTTCGCGGTCGGAGAAGCGCACCAGGCAGCGGGGGTGGGTGCGGGCCCGGCGCACGGCTGCCATGTTCGCGGGCAGGGTGGGTGCGGGGATGGGTCGCGGCGAGACGCGCCGATCGCCCGCCGGGGCCTGGCCCGAGAGCGCACACGCCGCCGCCGCCGCCCGCTCCGCGCACGCGCACGCGCACTGCCGGGTCCCCACGGGCGCCGACGGGACGCGAGGGGGCCGGGAGCACCCAAGGGCGCGGCGGCACGGCCAGCTCAGGCCCCAGGGATGCGCACGCCAGGAACACCCCAAAAAATAAATAAATAAGAATCACGATCGTTTCTACTGGAGGGTGGGGACCTTAGGGCGCCCGGAAAGTGACAGTCGGGACCGTCGGTGCACGGCCCGAGTCGCGCGCCGCGAATGCGACGGGGGGTCACTGTGCGACTTCGCCACTGTCCCCGCGAATGCACGTCCCCAAGGCACCGGTTACGCAGGAGCGCGGAAGGATGCTCGGGGGACGGCGGCGGGGCCGTGGAGGCGCTAAGCCACGACGACGCGCGCGGGGCGGACGGGCGCACTACAAATCCCATCATGCTCAGCGGGCGCCGGACGCGGCCGCACCCGGGTCTCGAAGCCCGAGTTGGGCGGGCCGCTGGCCGCGAGGCACGCTGGGACTTGTAGTCCGCGCGGGCTGCGCTGCCTGCCGGAACTTCACACCGGGGCCTCTTGAAGTCCCAATCTCTCAGAGCCCGCCTCTTAAAGCCCGACTTCGGTCATTCTTCCCGGATCGAATGAGCTCTCAGCTCAGTTCTTGGCAGTTTGGAGTCGGTTGAAAGGTGGAGCTCTGCATGGAGCTTGGCAAATTCTATGAGACCATACACCCATATTATGATTTTATATATATAATTATATATATTATTATACATATTCACCCATGAATATATTCTGATCTCTTCAACAAACATGTATGGTGTTTCTGAAGTCTTTTCTAGATGTCTAGGATGACTATCACTCACTGATGCTCTACTTTCAAACACATCCCCAGAACTGAAATCGTTAGTTTTCCTTTTCTGGAACCCTAGAAATGTAGTACGTCTGTGGCAGAAAACATAGATGGAAGAAAGAGAAGAGGGAGAACTATAATAAGAAAGCCCAAAACTTTTCTTTTGATATTCAAGTGTGCCCGTTGGGTGGATTTGCTTTGGTTTGTCCCTAATTCAGCAGTTTATTTAAAAAGGGCCCTAATATTTAAGAACGGTTAAAAAAAAAAAAGAAACAGTAATAGTTTTTAAAGAAAACTTTAGGGCCGAGCTATTAAGAGTGATTTTCTTTTTCTTCCCAATGACCCCAATAAAATTTGATTTTTGAATTTTAAATTAGAGGAAAGATTAAGGATTTACTATACAAGGAAATGATAAAAGTGACACTTGAATGCAAGAGTCTTGAATTAGAAAACGAATAATGGGGTATTAAGATATTTTCAGATCTACTCAATTTTGTTAACCTAAGTTGAATGCTAATTTAAGACATCAAGATCAATTAGCTCAGTTAATGTTCATTATTCTAGCAAAAAAAGCGATGAAGCATAGTAAAATATTAATTAGTATTTGTAAGGGTAAATTGAGCAGCTATTTCAATAAAAACAGTTATGTTTTACAGCAACTAGTTTTCTATTTTAGATCAGTCGCCACACTAGACTTCTTTACAGGGTTAAATACTATTGCATCATATTCTATTTGCAATGTGATAATTATCCCACGGCCGGGCCTACTGACCTAAACGATTTACTAGCTCATTGAGTGTTTTTTAAAAGTAATCCCTTTTTTTGCTTGGTAGACTGAGTCCGGACATCCGCTTAATAATAAAGCTGATAATTTTGATATTTTAAAAAAAATCACTTTTCCCAGAGTAGCATATGATGGGATTAGTAATGGCTTTTTGTTTCAGAGCTGGTTTAGGTGTGATATGTGTAAACAGAAAGGTAAACGTGTCTTTCATGTGCCAAGTGTCCAGATGACACTTTCCCACTTGGGAAAGTTTGACAGGCTTGTATTCCTGTTTTTTTTGTTTTTTTTTTTTTCTCAACGGGCTTGACCAGTGAAAGACCTTTCGGCCTTTGGTATAGATTCTTTTAAGAAGAAGGGGGAAAAAAAAAACCCTGCACTTTCACACCTTTAATTCAAAAATTATTAAAAGAACATAATGAGAGAAAATTCATACCGTGGAATTTTGGGAACTGGGAACTGTAAACTTGAAGAAGGATCCGCGAAGTATTGGTGAGTGACTAATGTAACTAAAATTGTGTTGCTTTGGACAACTGCATCAGAGCAGCAGCAGAACCAGAAATCTAGGGCTCTTGCCTTGCCCTTGTGATGGATCCAGGTGAGATCCTGCCTGGCCTTCCCCACCCCCCACCCCCAACCTCCTATGAGCCCATCTGGAGTGATCTCTGAATGCAGAGCTCTGAGCACCGCTGGGGGTGGCCGCCAACCACAGCAAACAAAATCGATGACAAAGCCGGGTAACCTTTCTAAAACAAGTCCTGCAGGTGATTCCTAATGCCTCCAGCTAAAGTCTGAGATCCATGGGCTCAGGGCAATTGTGTACATTTAAAAAAAAAGGGGGGGGCAGCAATTTGTTTTTAGCAAGATTTTTGAGCCAGTCCTTAGATGGATGCTTTAAGGCATGTGTCTATAACATAAGTCATGACACTGGTGAACACGAACAGTCTTTCCCCTCACTTGGTCATCTGGATAACAGCCCAGCCTACCAAAGGAAGGGTGTTGACCACAGACATAACGCCTGGCATTCGGATGAAGACGGAGAAGACAGCCGTTGTGCTTGGAAATATTTTTTTTTACTGTGCGGAAATATTACAACTAACTCCCCACCTGATCATTTCTGAATGTGCACTCGAGTGGCGTCGGTTTGATTCCCCCGCTGCCAAGCCACCAACCTCAGTTGACCTTTATTTTATTTATTTATTTATTTATTTTTTAAATCGGGAAATGTTTCGCTTGGATCACCTGGCACGAAAACCCTTCTCGGGACGTGCCTGCCCGGCCTCGGCGTCCCGCTCTCGGAATCCGGTGCCCGGTCGGTAAGGGGCCCCCGCCGCCGTCGCTGCGCCGGGCGTGGGTCGCTGGGTGGTCCAGGGTCGCGGAGGATGCTCACAGCGCGGGCGGGGTGGGGCTCGCGGTCGCCCGGTGGTCCAGGGCGGCGAAGGATGCTCAAGGCGCGGGCGGGGCGCACGGTCGCCCGGTGGTCCAAGGCCTGGAGGATGCTCGCGGCCCGGGCTGGGCGCACGATCGCCCGGTGGTCCAAGGCCTGGAGGATGCTCAAGGCGCTGGCGGGGCGCACGGTCGCCCGGTGGTCCAAGGCCTGGAGGATGCTCAAGGCACTGGCGGGGCGCGCGGGCGCGCGGTCGTCCGGTGGTCCAGGGCGGCGAAGGATGCTCGCGGCCCGGGCTGGGCGCACGGTCGCCCGGTGGTCCAAGGCCTGGAGGATGCTCAAGGCGCTGGCGGGGCGCGCGGTCGCCCGGTGGTCCAAGGCCTCGGAGGATGCTCAAGGCACTGGCGGGGCGCGCGGTCGCCCGGTGGTCCAGGGCGGCGGAGGCTGCTCGCGGCCCGGGCTGGGCGCACGGTCGCCCTGTGGTCCAAGGCCTGGAGGATGCTCAAGGCACTGGCGGGGCGCGCGGTCGCCCGGTGGTCCAGGGCGGCGAAGGATGCTCAAGGCGCGGGCGGGGCGCGCGGTCGCCCGGTGGTCCAAGGCCTGGAGGATGCTCGCGGCCCGGGCTGGGCGCACGGTCGCCCGGTGGTCCAAGGCCTGGAGGATGCTCAAGGCGCTGGCGGGGCGCGCGGTCGCCCGGTGGTCCAGGGCGGCGAAGGATGCTCAAGGCGCGGGCGGGGCGCGCGGTGCAGGGCCGCGCGGGGCCGCCGAGGGGAGCTGCAGGGCAACTTCTCGGGGAAGCGGCCGCCGGCCCCGCAGAGCCCGCCTGGCCTTTTGTTTGTTTCCTGCCGGAGGCCCGAGTCCCGCCGCTGTGCCCTGCGCCGCGCGCCCCAGCCCGTGGCCGGACCTGCCGGGCGCCCCCTCCCCCCCGAGCCCGCGGCCGCCGCCGGCGCGGCCCGCCCGGTCCCCAGCGCCTGAGCGGCCGCGGCGCCCGTCGCCCCGAGCTGCGCCCACCCAAGGCGGGCCCCCGCCCGGACCCCGGCGCCAGTGAGTGGGATCGGGGGTCTGGGGGGCACTGGTCACCTGGGGGGGCGGGCCAGCGCTGCAAGGGGCCCCCCAGGTGCGGTGGGCCCCGCGAGGGCTGGGCGGGTGGTGCCCGGGGAGCGGGGGGAGTAGCTAGTGGCTTTAGTCCCCTCCTCGGCCGGGTGGGTGCCTGCCCCCCTGCAGGCGGGTGGGGGGACTCCGGGCCCGCCGGGTGCGGACGGTCCGGATGGGTGTTCGCCGTTCCACCTGGGCAGGGGTGCGGGAAGGCGAGTCTCGCCCGCGGCGGAGCCTGGAGGAGTGGGCTGGGGGGTGGGACCTGCCCTGGGAAGGTTTCCCACTAGGCCTGGGGCTGTCCCACTCGGGGTCTCGAGTCTAAATCCGCACCCATTTCGGTTGCGACCATTTTTGATCCCCCCCCTGGGTGGTTCTTCTTCCCGAGCCGAGTACATGTTAGGTGAAAGGATGCCGGATTTTTCCAGAAGGAACCGTGTCCTTCGTGAAATACACCGGGGAAACTTTGCTACTGTAGCGGGAGGCTGTTACTTGTCAGGATGGAAAAGTAATTCGACGCATCATTCTGCAGATGACAGTGTATTCCCGTCCCTTCCCTTCCACTTCTGCTGCTGAAGCTGAACTGTGCCAGGAGAAATGCCCCCGGGAGTTTGTCTTGGTGGGGGGTTAGGGCTCCATGAAGGGGCATTGGTTGGCTGGTAGCAAGAGAAGTTGGAGAGCGACAGTTTTCATTTTCCACATTTTCCTGTGAGTGGGTTTTTCCCCTGGAGGTGCCCAATGGTGAATTGTGCTCCTGCTGAATATGAAATTTAAATGAACCCCGAATTTTGTGTAGTCAACATATAAAGGATTAAGAAGAATTTGTGTCCCCACCATATGCTAACTGTGCTGGGAGTTAATGCATGCGGAAATATGCACATTTGAAATAGTTTCTGAACAAAGCACTGCAATTTGCTCCTGGAGACTTTCCTGCTTCTCTGTCATTCTGAGGACCAGTAATTGTGGGTGTGGAGAGAAGATAGTGCTGGGATTTTATTATTATTATTATTTGAAAGTGATATCTCCTACAACTTCCTCTTCCTTAAGGTTCAGCCCTTTATAGTGACCCTCGCCACTCTGGTTTCTCTCATTTGTCTTCTTCTGTGTGAGTAGGGTGGATGAGACTGATGTACTTTTTTTTTTTCTTTTTTCTTTTCTTTTTTTTTTTTGCTTTTTTTTTTTGCTTTTTGGGTCACACCTGGCGATGCACAAGGGTTACTCCTGGCTCCACACTCAGAAATTACTCCTGCTGGTGCTCAGGGGACCATATGGGCTGCTGGGAATCAAACCCGGGTCGGCCGCGTGCAAGGCAAACGCCCTCCCCGCTGTGCTATTGCTCCAGCCCCAAGATTGATGTACTTTTGTAGTTTTGTAGTTTTAGATGATGGATGAGCCTATTGGAGGGTGCATGGAGCCGTGGGACCGCAGAGAAGCCTGTCACCTTGCCGCAGAAAGAACATTCAGTTGCAAAGAATATATTTTTCTCACTGACGTTTTTTTACCTACAGTTTTACCTGGATAACGGAGCTAGCAGGATAATGAATAGGCCTCTAGGTGAGGGGAGTTGGGGGTGGGAGGTTATTTGTTGATATTCAACCTCACCCAAGTTCTTATTATACTTTCATTCTTTGTTTTTTTTTTCATTAATTTTTATTTATTATTTAGTTATTTTTTTTTTTTGCTTTTTGGGTCACACCCGGCGATGTACAGGGGTTACTCCTGGCTCATGCATTCAGGAATTACTCCTGGCAGTACTTGGGGGACCATATGGGATGCTGGGAATTGAACCCAGGTCGGCCACGTGCAAGGCCAACACCCTACCTGCTGTGCTATCACTCCAGCCCCTATTTAATTATTTTTGACTTTTGGGGTCACACCCAGCGATGCTCAGGGGTTACTCCTGGCTCTGCTCAGGGGTTACTCCTGGCTCTGCGCTCAGGACACTCAGAATTACTCCTTGCGGTATTGGGGGACCGTATGGTATGCTGGGGATGGAACCCAGGTCAGCCACGTGCAAAGCAAATATCCTACCTACTGTACTATCACTTCCGTCCACTAATTTTTGGGGGGCAGGGGGGTGGATTTTTAGTAACAAAAGTCCTATCAATTCTGAAATTTGGGAATAATCTGAACTATCTTTTCCTTCTTTGCCTTCATCCTTTATAGCAGTGCTATTTAGACCTTTGGAATGTGAATTCTTTATATGGGGTGCTTTGGGGGGGAAGGGGAGGTAGTGTTTTAGGGCCATACCTGGAAATGCTCAGGGCTTGCTCCTGGCTCTGTGCTCAGGGGTCATCCTGAAGGTGACTGGGGGACTATCTGTGGTGCCAGGGATTTAAATGGAGTTGACCATAGGCAAGGCCAGAGCCTATTCTGTCTCTTCAGGCGTGGAATTTGGTATCTTTAGAGCCCTCTCTCCACAGTCTAGTCTGGAGCCTCCCCGCTCCCCTCCTCACACCAGTCAGTCTCTCCATTCCTGCCCCCTCCCCCCCACCTCCCTGCATGTTGCTGACTGACTGAGCCAGTCCTTTGTGTTTTTGTGTTTTTGGTTTTTTGGATTTTTTTTTTTCTTTTTGAGTCACAGGCTGGAGCGATAGCCCAGTGGGTAGGGCATTTACCTTGCACGCAGCCAACCAGGGTTCGATTCCTCCTCCTCTCTTGAAGAGCCCAGCAAGCTACCGAGAGTATCCTGCCCGCACAGCAAAGCCTGGCAAGCTCCCCGTGGCCTATTCGATACGCCAAAAACAGTAACAACAAGTCTCACAATGGAGACGTTACTGGTGCCCGCTCCAGCAAATCGATGAACAACGGGAGGACAGTGCTACAGTGCTACAGTTTTGAGTCACACCCAGTGATGCTCGGGAGTTATTCCTGGGTCTGCACTCAGGAATTACTCCTGGTGGTGCTTGGGGGGTGCTTGGGGGACCATATGGGATGCCGGGGATTGAACCCAGGTCAGCCGTGTGCAAGACAAAGGCCCTCCCGGCTGCCCTATCGCTCCGGCCCCAGCAGGTCCTTAACACCCGCCCCTTTTCCTCTCTTTGGCCTTGTGGATCTTGCCCAAGCCTCACTGCCCCGCCTCTCTCCCAGCTTTCCAAGCTTCCCTTCCTCCCATTCTCTTATCTCAAAGTCTGAAATCATTTGCCTGATTTCCCAAGGCCTCTCATAATCAGGCCTCCACACCCTTCTGTTGAAATCCCCTTTTGGGTTCACCGTCCGTCTTTGCCCGCACTGTCGTTTGGGCTTCTTGCCGCCCTGCTAAGGGGGACCAGGATTAATGCCAATGCAGTGCCGTTGCTTATTTCTCTCTCCCTAGAAGTCCCTTCCCTTCTCATCACTGTCCAGTTTCTAGTCTCCCCTTCCGAGAAGGCCCGGCAGGCAACTTTTCCCATGACTTTTTTACTTATTATTATTCACGATCACAATCAGGATCGTCCTGTTGTTCGTCGATTGCCTCGAGCAGGCCCCAGCAACGTCTCCTTCGTCCTAGCCCTGAGATTCTAAAAAGTGCCACATTCAAGGCTCTTTCAGGGTCAGGAGAATGAGACCCATTGTTGTTACTGGTGTTTGGCATATTGAATACGCCACGGGGAGTTTGCCAGACTCTGCCATGTGGACAGGTTACATTTGGTAGCCTGCCAGGTTGTCCAAAGTAAGAATGAGATAATAAGGTGTCACGCGACCTCAAATGCGGCCGCATGCTTCCAGGAGCTGGGTTTTATAGTCTCTGGGTCGTGGCCGTTGATGGGATTACACAGTGCCAGGGGCCAGTTGGTGGGCGTGACCCCCGCCTACTGGAAGATGGAGGATCTAGGTGGAGGATGCTCAGCCCCGATCCGAGCAAGGCTTGGAGATCTCAGCCCCGGGACCCGCATGCCTTTGTTCCTCTGCCAGTACCTTCATGCTTGTGGAGCGTGGTCTCAGCATATAATAACAAAATATTATTATTATTTTTGCTTTTTCAGTCACACCCGGCAATGCTCAGGAGCTACTCCTGGCTCTGCACTCAGGAATGACTCCTGACAGTGCTCGAGGGACCATATGGGATGTGGGGGATTGAACCCGGGTCGACCATGTACAAGATAAATGCCCTACCCACTGCACTACTGCTCCAGCCCCACCATGACGTTTTCTTTTCTCCTTTCTCCTCTTCTGCTTTTAGGATCCTTGTTTTGTTACATTGGTTATATTGATCTCTAATTGGTCGAGATTATTAAGCTGCTTTAGGGCAGACGCTATATTCGATGCATGGTAATGTGGCGGTGTGGGCTTTGGAGGCAGGAAAACCTGAGGTCAGGGCATGACTCTACTTATTAGCTCACGTGGCCCTGTGGAATTCTCCTAGCATGGGCCCTTTCATGTGTCAAGTAGGAGAAATGCCTCCCCTAGCAAGCAGTCGTAGGAGTAAGATGGTCTCTGGTGTCCCAACAGGGGCTGGCCCGTGCCTGACCACTTTCTGCTCTTCCCCAGGTGATGAATTGCAGAAGCTTGAATATGTAGCAAATCTCCCATAAATGTGTGTTGACCTATTCATGGTCGATTGCCAGTCAGGGCTCAGTGTGGAGGCCCAGAGGACAGGGCAGCCCTGTGCTGCGTCCTCCCTGAGTATAATTCTGCTCTGACTTCAGTGACTTGGGCTTCAGTTATTTCTGGCTGAGGCTCTGCTTCTGGGATCTGTTGCAGTCTTTCCATCTGAATCTTGCCAGGAACACTACCGCCTCTTAATTTATTTTATGTTTTCCTGGGCTGCTCATAAGACAAGCTCATTTTGCAGGATCTTGCTGAATTGGAGTTTTACCTCGCTGTTCTATTTTTCTGCTTGCGGGGTAGGTGTGAGTGTGTGTATTTATGGCAGGACCTCTCATCCGGTGGTTTCTTTGTAGAATTCCGGGGACAGTGGCCTTTCTGTCCACTCCAATCTGGCAGTCTGTGAACACAGCTCGCTTTGCTGT